ATCTTTATGCACAACTCTGTAAGAGACAAACTGGGACACTGAGGTGTCCAGAGAAATCTGTAATGATGGAGGGTGGAGGTGACTCACCACAGCAGAGGAATGGAGTGGGCTTGTAACACTCAGTTTGGATGCTACTTCCAGCAATGGAGCAGAATCTGAGGGACTTGGATTCTGCCTGTGCCAGCTCACATGCTCTTTACCTATTTTGGTTCTGACAGCAGCCATAGAAATTATTATTTCCATTTTACTAATAAATAGAGTGAAATAACTGAGGCATTGTCGTAGTAAAAACCACTGTTTATATTGCTAGCTTCTTCCCACGTGGCTCAGGGGTAAAGAATCTGCTTGCAGTGCAGGAGATGCCTCTTGCACAGGATACACAGGTTCAATCCCTGGCTCAGGAAAATCCCTTGAGAAGGAAATGGCAACCCACTCCAGATTTCTTGCCTGGGGAATCCCATGGACAGAGATGCCTGTCAGGCTACAATCCATGGGGTCCCAAAAGAGCTGGACACAACTTAGTGACTAAACAACATATTGCTAGCTAAATGATTCAAAAGTATTTTGAAATTCATTATTCTTGTTTGTTGATGCTTTTTCAATAAGTTTTCATCAAGTTGTACATTTAGTTTGCTTCCTCTTGTTTTTTCTTTTTTTGGCCATGCAGCATGTGAGATCTTAGTTCCGGACCAGAGACCAAACCTGTGCCCTCTGTGGTGGAAGTGCAGAATCTTAACCATTAGAAAACCCAGGAATTCCTGCTTCCTCTTTTAAAAATCAAACTTTAATGAGAGATTAAATAATACTTGCTAATTTAGGAAAACTAGATAAAAACTTTACGCATGTAATTTCAGTAAAGGAAACATGGTGTTGAAAGCAAGATTTAAAATTTGTCTTCTTAATATAGTTTATTTTCTGTTCCAAAGCAACAACAACAAAACCACTTTAGGAGGCATATTTTACAATCAGAAACACAATAATGCTCATTCCATTTGTGGGAACTAAATGGAGAATATTTTCCATTGGCTACATGGGAAAGAGTAAATTTCTAAACAGGCTAGTCATAACTTTTAAAACAATGAGCAAAAATTAAAAATACAATAAATGTTAAGATTTTCAAATTTATAGAGATGCCTTATTTATTTGGTTATGTATGTTTATATTACTTAGAAAGCATTTTGACTGGTTACACAAGACAGCAGCTACATTTCATGCTATATGCATGAAAATTTTAAAATGAGATCATTCTAAACAAAATCAGCACATTTATTATATGAAATACGTGATATTAGGGAAGGAGACAGGGAATAGACACAGGATTTTGTCCATTTCATTCCTGTAATCAGTCCTTTTTCTACTCACAACTTTTAAATTTCATATAGAAATAAATTAGTTCTATTAAATAAATGTATTCATGTAATGTTTCCAAATTTGCCCACTGAGAGTGGACCTGCTGAAACATGACTGTTATTTTCAGTTTTGAAAAACAGGAGCTAATTGAAAGTTTTTATTTTCTTGGGCTCCAAAATCACTGCAGATGGTGACTGCAGCCATGAAATTAAAAGATGTTTGCTCCTTGGAAGAAAACCATGATAAACCTAGACAGTGTATTAAAAAGTGGAGATATCACTCTGCTGGCAAAAGTCCATATAATCAAAGGCATGATTTTTCCAGTAGTCATGTACAGATGTCGGAGTTGGACCATAAAGAAGGCTGAGCACCAAAGAATTGATGCTTTCAAACTGTGGTTCAGAAGAAGACCCTTGAGATTCCCTAGGACAGCAAGGAGATCAAACCACTCAATCCTAAAGGAAATCAAGCCTGAATATTCATTGGAAGGACTGATGCTGAAGCTCCAATACTTTGGCCACCTAATGCAAAGAGCGGACTTATTGGAAAAGACACTGATGCTGGGAAAGATTGAAGGCAGGAGGAAAAGGGAGTGACAGGCATGAGGTGGTTGGATGGCATCATCAATTTATGGACATGAGTTTGAGCAAACTCTGGGAGATTAGTGAAGGACAGGGAAGCCTAGCATGCTGGAGTGCTGTAGTCCATGGTTTTGCAGAGTCAGACATGACTGAGTGACTGAACAACAACTGAAAGTAGGTCAAATATGATCCAATTAGCTTTGAAGAGTGGTGAGAAGACATAAAAAATAAACATAACAAGTTAAACGTGTCTCCTTGGCAGGGGCTGTGAAAGAGGCAATATTTCTCTTAAGAGATCTAATCATGACTAAGTTTAATCATGAGTGGTTTAATCATGACCAAACCTGGTTTAATCATGACTAGTATAGGATGATAATAAAAAATTTTACAATTTTTGTAAATTGTACTTTCTTTGGATAGTTGGATTATGGCTTTGTTTATATTTTTCTTTATATTTCTGCATAATCCAAATATGTCTAATCACCTTGTATTACACAAATAATTATAAAAAGTATTTCATTTTCAAATGTTTCTCATAGAAACTTTTAAAACGAGTGTAAAGAAATAAACAACTCACAAAGACCCAATGTTAATTGCTGTTATAAAAAAATTGCTAAAAGCTTTAATAATAATTAAGTGCATTATTATGTTATTAAATATCTACATCAGACACTGCTGGAAATTGAGCTCCAGGGTAATTAAGACAAAAGCATTGTTACAAAAGGGCACAGGCTTGCACAGAAAAGATAATGCCTAATTTATTTAATAGTTATATAATTATTATTAATACTAAACTATAATAGTGCATTAACTTAACAGGATATTTGGAAAGGTGAAAAAACAATACTGGTTTAGCAACAAGGTCCTTCTGTACAGCACAGGAAACTATATTCAGTATCCTGTGATAAACCATAATGGATAAAGAATATGAAAAAAGAATGTAAAAAAAGTACTGGTTTAAATACAGACATACATTATTTGATGCAATTCCAATTTTGGAAAGATTAAAATTTGGAAAGGTACATTCCTTGTGAAATTAAATAAGCAAATCAGATCACAATGTTTGTGAAATGGTGTCATCACTGTCAGTGTTTCTCCATGCCTATGCTGGCAAAACTCAGATGCATCAGAATCACCTGCATGTGTGCTCAATCGTGTCCAACTCTTGGCGACCCCATGGGCTATAGCCCACCAGGCTCCTATGTCCATGGAATTCTCCAGGCAAGAATACTGGAGTGGGTTGCCATTTCCTTCTCTAGGGAATATGCCCAACCCAGGGATCAATCCCACAGCTCCTCCATTAGCAGGCGGGTTCTTTTATATTGAGCCACCAGGGAAGCAGAATCACCTGAGGAACTGTCAAAACAGTAGTTAATGATCAGGTGATTCAAGGAACAACAAGGGGTTGGGAGTGGGAAGGCACCCAAGTGAAAGCATTTTTTCACATTTCCTTCAGGTGATTGAGCTTCCCTGATAGCTCAGTTGATAAAGAATCCGCCTGCAATGCAAGAGACCCTGGTTCGATTCCTGGGTTGGGAAGATCTGCTGGAGAAGGGATAGGCTACCCACTCCAGTATTCTTGGGCTTCCCTTGTGGCTCAGCTGGTAAAGAATCTGCCTGCAGTTGGGAGACCTGGGTTTGATCCCTGGGCTTGGAAGATCCCCTGAAGGAAAAGGCTACCCACTCCAGTATTCTGGCCTGGAGAATTCCATGGACTGTGTAGTCCATGGGGTCACAGAGAGTTGGACATGACTGAGCCACTTTCACTTTTCACTGGGCCACTTAATTAAGGACAGTCACTTAGGAACAGTGTTGAGCCAGTTTCTGAACTCTATTAATGAATCAGTTAAAATAATTAAATATGTTGGAGCTTTCCATGTGGCGCTAGTGGTAAGAACTTGCCTGCCAATGCAAAAGACGTAAGAGTTGTGGGTTCAATCCCTGGGTCAGGAAGATTCCCTGAAGAAGGGCATGGCAACCCACTCCAGTATTCTTGCCTGGAGAAACCCATGGACAGAGTAAAACCAAAAGGGTCTTGTTCAGAACCAATGTTAAGAACAAGAACCATGGGAATGGTACTCACTGGTAAATGTAACTCCAAAGTGATGAAGGCCTTCTCCCACAACTTTTATAGAAGTCAAAGGGGGGATTTATCTCACCAGGGACTACAGAGAGATCAGTGGGCTTTTGTTAGCTTGTGGACTCCAGCACATCAGCAACATGAACTGAAATAGGAGCCAGCAGAAGGGGAAAAATGCCCAACTGACATGCCAGTAATCAGGGAGGTAGGGGTACTGCAAATATGACTGGAATGACAGAGTGGAACCCACCTATTTTTCCTCTTGTGAGCCTGGCTGAAAACCCCCCTTAGTACTGCCCAAGGATCTGATGAGAGTCAGAGTCCTGTTAAATGCTGAGGAGTTGCATAGGAGGCAGGCCAACTGTTCCACACCTCATGTATTTCATCTGGCAGCCCTCTAAGGCAGACATTATTTATCCCATTTCACAGAAGAGAAGACTGACTCTTTACAGGAATGTATCTGTAATAAAGGGAGGGTTTACTTTCAGTTAAGACTGGAAGATACTTAAAGTTTACTTTTCTTTAAGTTTGCTGAACCAGTAATTATGTTCATTCACAGATTCATTGAAAAACTGTTCTCAATGCTTCTAAAAATCCCAGATAATAAATGAAAAGAAGTCACGTATTATCCAACCCAGAGAAATGTGCTCCAATTACCATCCTGGGATATGTGATTTCAGATTTTTGAAGGGTTCATGTATTTTTTTTTTCTTTAATGAGACAATGATAAATGTGTAAATTGCTTTTTAATTACTTTATTAACTTTACATTTTTCCATGCAAATGGGTGAAACTTCACTGTTGACAGAAACTTAGATTGGGTGCCAAGGCAATCTGCAATTAGAAGCTGGTAACACAGAACCCACCTGACACACTGAAATTACATAAGGTTCACAGCAAACAGATCAGTAAAGGCATTATCAGGAAAATGCAAGGAAAAACAGAACAACAGTGGAAATCACAGTATTAATCTCATGGAAATGACAGGAGTCAAGGCATAAGGCAAAATTCGTCATGATGGTCATGGTGATTAGAGAGCTCCCCCATAAGGATACGCAGACAATTCCTCAACTGCAGCTCCCTAAGTTTTCTCCTGATTTCTCTCATCTCCTCCATGAATATTTCCATATCGTCTCCATCTCCACCCATCCCATCATTGACCTGCCTATTGGGTATGACCCATCGGAAATTAGGGGCAAGTCGGCGAGCCTGTCCCCTTCTATGATTTCTTTCTGGCTGGTGGCCTTCGTCCCCTCCCAAAGGGCGGTCTTCCTCTCCGTTCTGCACGGGTTGCTCCATTTCTTCGTTTTCCTGGTGGATATTAGCCATGATGAGATTTTTTTCCCCCGGTTATTTTTCTTTGAACAACAAGTAAGACAAAGGCAAGGTGAGAGACTGAATGCTTGGTGCACTGACCAGCAGGATTCAGTCCTGATAGCAAAGATTTAAAAAAATTTTTTTTTTCCCACCACAGGCGCTTCGTGCGCCTTCTGGGGAGCCTTCAATTTGACCTCTTTCCCAGCTCTCTCCTTTTTCCTCCCTCCCTCACACCAAAGCCCACCATTTTTCTTTTCCCAGGATTCTTTCCCAGAGCGTAGCAGGCACCAAAATGGAGGACGGGGCATGGGGTCTGGGGGAGTTAGCAAGGGATCTCAGGCTGGGCTATGCACCAGTCCCCTTCCTCCCCTGCACAGTTCCCGGCACTGACCTGGGCCTATCCTCGCTGTCTCCTGCTCCTTCCGATCCTCGCCACGAGTGCGCAGCCGCCACACTTAGTTCGGCAGACCTGCAAAGGGCCAGGGTGGGGGCAGGAGGCTGCTGCAGCCGGGCGCTTGGCGCCTTCCCGACCCCGCGTCCCCAACTCCCACCAACCCCCCTTTCCGCGCCTGGCCGCCTCGAGCCCCCCGCCCCCACCCTCAGGTGCCCCCATCCCCGCCCCGCTCCCAGGTTCACTATTGCCTTGCAGGAACTCGGGGATGATTTCCCATCGCTCTGAGTTGCTTTCCTGCCTTCCCTGGAACCCTGCCCCCCTGCACCCCCCACCCCAGGGGACCACTATTTCTGTTCCCAGGAAAGCCGGGGTGTGGAGAAGGCTTGCCTGGACTCTTCGCGCTGAACCCCTGTGCTGGCTTCTGGGGTTGGCTGGCAGCTGCCTCCCTGGCGTCAGCGCGCGGCCCAGGGGCCCTTACCTGCTCCGCTTGCCGCGGGCCCAATGCCAACCCGCCGTGCGCGGGGGAGCGGGAAGCTGGTACCCAGACAGAAGTGACGACTGCACCGAAGGCTGCGTCGCCCTGCAGCTCGAGATCACGTGAGCACCCCACGTCACCGCCGAGCTCGCCCCCAACTCCTTGGTGGCCAGTGCAGCAGGAGCGCCCCACTTCCGCTTCTTGCACAGGCACGGACAGCCACCTCCGCCTGTTTGTGCACTGGGTCACAGCGCGCACCTCCCTGTCAATCAATCATCTCGTTCTTCTCCAATCTGACTGCCCACGAGTGGCATCACTTCCCTGCTGTTGGAGTTTGCACTTCTCTGGTTATAAGCGAGGGTCTACAACACCCTCTACCCGCTCTCCGCCCCTAGGCCTTGGCGTTGTTTTTTTTGCTCTCTTTCCTCTTCTCATTAACCAAAGTCTTTCCCCACCCCGCCCCACCATTGCCCACCAAGTGCCCTGAATTCATACTCTTCTAGGACATTTAGGTTGAAGGTTAGGGTGGGGAGGGAGCAAGAAACTTGTCAGACAGAGAGGCGAGAAGGTAGAGTGGGTTGTATATATCCTTCCTAATAATTTCTCTTTATTTCTTTTTTTAAAAAAGTCAGCATACCATCAAAAAATTAAAAATTGCAAGGTTTCATTTTTTAAAGAAATGCTCCATCCTGCGGGAAAAAAAAGCCTAATTGTTTGATTTTGTTTGTTCACTGGTACCACTCAGAAAATATTTTCTTTGGACTCTACCACACAACATCAACATTTTGGAAACATTTTATTTTGAAATCTCCTTTTGAAAAAATTCAAGTATCTTCCTGAATACAGTTGGTGTTTTCAAAATGATCTGTAACATAAATCTTGAGGTTGAAGTCCAGTTGTCAGACCTTGACCATTTTATGTAAATTTATGTGATGTTTTTGATACCATAGTCTTTGGAGGAAAGGAGACTTTAAAAAAAAGGAGCCTGTTTATTTTCTGCTTTCCTTTGCAAACTTGGGAAGGCACTCCTACACATACTTTCTTAGAGTGATCTGAGAAATTAAGTATACAACTGGTAAAAGTTAGTTCCAAAGACATGTTTTTTGTAATGTGAATGTTTCCAAAAAATATTAGAAATAGGCATGGGGTATGTGAAGCAATTAAACTTGAAACTCATTTTGAGTATAACTGTTCATTAAATCATGGTTACAAAATAGAGATGCCTTTAGGAAAATGGCATTATTATTCAAAAATAGTAAGGGCTGGTTGTGTCCAAGGAACCAAAAGAGTAATATGTACTGAGGCCAGACAGGCCAGGCAAATGCTAACTGCCTCTAGTTTTGCTCAGGGGCTTCAGTTGTGTCTGACTCTTCGAGACCTCCTGAACTGTAGCCTGCCAGGCTCCTCTGTCCATGGGATTATCTGGGCAAGAATACTGGAGTGTGTTGCTATTTCCTCCTCCAGGGAATCTTCTCAACCCAGGGACTGAACCTGTCTCTCTTGTGTCACCTACATTGGCAAGTGGATTCTTTACCACTATGCCATCTGGGAAGCCCTTTGGCTCCAAAAGCCTATGTAATCTCCCACCCTGTTAAACTAGCTGGGACACTGAATAAAGGAAGAGTATATGCCTACTGCATATGTAGTTTGAAATATATAAAATTATGTATATATGCATGCATGCATGCATGTCTGACTCTTCTTGACCTCATGGACATGTCAAAACCATGACAACCTCATGGACTCCTCATGGAGCCTGCCAGTCTCCTCAGTCCATGGGATTTTCCAGGCAAGAATACTGGAGTGGGTTGCCTTGCCCTCCTTCCTCCAGGGGATCTTCTTGACCCAGGGATAGAACCCATATCTCCTGCATTACAGGTGGATTCTTTACTGCTGAGCCACTGGGGAAGCCCATGTATCTATCTACCTATCTATCTATCTGACATATATGTGTGTTTTATATATATATACACACACATATATATTCCACATATATATACTAATTTTAGAGATATAAAGAAATATTGATATATTGCTCCAAAAGCTCAAATTAAAAAATAATTGTCTTTTAAAGGAATGCTAGTGATTCCTGAATTCTCTCTCACAATTTACAACTCTTCATATAGGTAGCTCTATTAATGATACCCATTGGAATCATGCTGATTAGAGGCATGAGTTGTGGTATCAGACATGTCTGAGTTTAAATCATGTTTCTGCTACTTGTACTGATGTATGACTTTGAGTCAGTTACTTATCAGGGTCTCTGTGCTTCCTCTGTGAAACAGGGATTATTAGAAGTAAATCACATATTTCAAGTAAGTACCATAGAGCCTAAAGAATCATCAATGAAAGTTGATTCATTACTTTTTTTTTTTTTTACTATTATTAGATGGTTTCTAAGAAGGTTTAAAGAGTGGGCAAAGCATAGTTCTGTTCTTAGCTAGATACACTTGTCTTTAAAATCTGTGAGGGTCCCAAACACATCTGCTGTCTTCTACTTTGCAAAGTCAGTGACTTACAGAATTCTTTGTACCAAGTAGGTGATTGGTGAATATTTGTTGACTGATATATCCACTATTGAGTTAATGGGGCTTCCCAGGTGGCACTAGTGGTAAAGAATCCGCCAGCCAGTGCAGGAAACATGAGACAGTCCCTGGGTCCGGAAGATCCCCTGGAGAAGGAAATGGCAACCCACTCCCATGAACAGAGGAATCCCATGGACAGAGGAGCTTGGCGGGTTACAGTCCATAGGGTCACAAGGAGTTCAACACAACTGAAACGACTTAGCGTGCAGCATGCATACTGAGGCTAATAGGTTGCTTTTCATTCAGGGGATGATATTTAGAGCAATATAGAAAAACTTTTATGAAAATTAGAAATTACCTAGAGAGAATCCCCTGAAAGTAGGCAAATTGCTATGACATAACCATTGAATGGCCTCCTCAGATGATGCTTGCGGTAAAGAACCCGCCTGCCAATGCAGGAGATATAAGAGATGCAGGTTCAACCCCCGGGTTGTGAAGATCCCTGGAGGAGGGCATGGCAACCCAACCCAGTATCCTTGCCTGGAGAATCCCATGGACAGAGGATCCTGGTGGGCTGCAGTTTATGGGGTCGCAAAGAGTCAGACATGACAGAGACTGAGCACACATGCAACCATTGAATACAAAATTTGAAAGGTAGATTTTTGGTTCTCTCAGTGGCTCAATTCTTTGCTATTATCTTTTTGATCCATCTTGGATTAGTCTTTTGCTTGAAACCACCAAATTTTCTTGTATGAAAACATGCTTATGGGTATTTTTCAAGATTAGAGGTTATGCTACATGGGAGGTTGGTTGTAATGAAGTGATGTTTTACAGATAGGTGAACTATGGCTGATTCATGTTGATGTTTGACAGAAAAAAAAAAACAAAATTCTGTAAAACAATTATCCTTCAATTAAAAAATAAATTAGTTAAAAATAATAAAGATAGGTGAAATTTGTCCTTGTAATGATGTCTTCACTTAAGTGTTGAGGTGTTGATTGAGATCTTTTCTTGTCCTTGGTGTTTTCTGAGGAGTTGAAAGTAGATTACAACCTGTTGAGAACAAAATTTTTTAAATTTCTAAGGCTGAGTTGGAAGGATGTAAGAGTCTTAGTTTGGGACTCATGTACCCTGAAGGACAGAGAGAGTGAAAAGTAGTGTAGTACTGGGAAGGAGGAACCTGTGTTCATGTTTGGGAAAGTGCAGTATTTGTGAAAAGAACCTATTTCCTTTCCTTATCTCCTATAATTATAGTGGAACCAGCCACTTGATCGGTTTTCTTCACGAAAGCCAAGGAGATGGGACCCCAAAAGAATAGTACATAAAGTTTAGGGATATCTACAAGATGTTCAGTTCAGTTCAGTCCCTCAGTCATGTCCAACTCTTTGCAACTCCATGAACTGTGGCACACCATGCTTCCCTGTCCATCACCAGTTCCCAGAGGTTGCTCAAACTCATGTCCATGGAGTCAATGATGCCATCCAACCATCTCATCTTCTGTTGTCCCCTTCTCCTGCCTTCAATCTTTCCTAGCATCAGGGCCTTTTCCAATGAGTCAATTCTTCCCATCACTTGTTAAGGTTCACTTATTCCTCTGCCGGATATCTGCATTACCATT